AGTAATAATAAGACATAAGACATAAGACATAAGACATAAGAAATTTATTTGTCCTTGCACTCACAAGTGGGTGCAACGAAATGAGGTGCTCTTCCCCAAGGTAAAACTGGACACCACTACAAAAAAAAAGTTAAAAATATACACAACACTCACCATACAAATATAAATACCCCGTTTCTCCCAGCAATTAAAATTCCACCAAAAACGTATGATACTAAGCACACTGGGAAAATACAACATCCTCTACTGAGGTAAGGGCAGGATATATGTCAAAAGAACCCTGTGCTTTCGACTGGTAGTGCCAGATACCATTTATCAGTATGGATCCAATGACCTCGGATGGGTAGCTTTAAAAGTTGCCCATCTGGGAGCAAGCCATTATATTAGGAGAGTGCATGGGAACCTCTGTCTAGCCCTGAGACATTAATGCTAGGAATGAAGAAGACTCTAAGAGGGGAATAAAATCATTTCCATATTCATCAAAGCTCCTGGAAATGACTATAAACAAACATGGCTTTAGATAGAATCGGAAGTTTTCAGATGTTTATCTGCACTGCAGGCAGGGCAGGGAGGTTGCAGACTCTTTTCACGGAGCCAACAAAAGCAGCAGAGACGCACGATTTCGTTTTATTATCACGACCTCTCAGACTCACAGAAGCTGCGGCCGGAACTTGCATTTCTGGGCAGCGTTTCAGCCCATCTCAGTTGGGCTCCCAAGCAGCAAACTGAGAACTTTGAGGAATGAAGCGCCCGGCCATGAGTATGAATTTTGACCCCTGGCAACTTGGGCATGAATTCAGGACTGGCACAATTTTAGAAGCCATGTTTGGGGCAAGAACGTATTTGAGCAGCAGCCATCACAAAATGGACCAACCAAGAGATGCGCCTGCCCAAGAAATCTTGTTGTGTCACGGTGGGCAATAGATCCTCTTGCTCAGTGTAGGATGTCACAACTAGATTAGGCTGGTTTGAAACAATGGAACCTAAGGAGGAGCTGACTCATCAAATCCTCACTGATTCAGTGGGCCTACTTTAGTTCAACAGACTAGACTAAGCAACAGGATTTCAGCCTTTGTGAAGTATGATGGGTATGGCTTGAAAACATGTTTGATACCCCTCAATATAAAGGTCTCAGAATGTAGCAATTGTGGAGTTGAACTGCTGCTACCCTATGGTTTATGGTAGCAAATCTCAAACTGGTAGCTGAGAACCACCCACAGGCTTCAGCCTACTTTCTGCTGGACCTCAATACTTCAGCCTGCCCAAATTCCTTGTCTTACTACCTGGCTTCTATTGTTTGTGTTATCTCTCCGCCCGATATACATGCAGACAAATTAGTTTGCAGTTGTTGCTCAAGGACCCACCTCTTGTGACACCACAAGGACCTGGCTGGTGGTCTCAGATTTCTTACCCCTGCCACCTCAAAGAACATACAGGTGCTGACAGCCACCCATTCAGAGTGGGACCTCCTTCAGGTTGCAGGAATGACCACCTCTTCCACCTCAGAAAAATAACCTGGCTTTGGGCAATGGCACCTGGAATGGTAGACATGTGTCTGTCTGCAGGAGTGTTGAGTGGTTTGCTGTCTCTCCTTCTCTCCCTCCCTCTCCCCCTCTCCCCCCTCTCTTTCTGTGTGTGTGTGTGTGTGTGTGTGTGTGTGTGTGTGTGAGAGAGAGAGAGAGAGAGAGAGAGAGAGAGAGAGAGGGAGGGAGGGAGGGAGGGAGGGAGAACTGAACAAAGGTGGCCAGATGACAAAGAATTTCAGGCATGGAGTGAGAGTTGAGAAAGCTTCTTGCAGAAAAGGGTCCAGGAAGTTTGAAAAAGTGCCATGGAGAAATATTATCCTTTTTTCCGTTATAATAACAGCTGCAGATCGAGAGAAAGGAAGTACAGTAAATGTAAAAGCAGCTGGAAGGAAGGGGAGAAAGAAATTTGGAAAGTGTGGATGGACTGCCAAGGAGAAAGGAGAAGTGGAGCAGAAAGGAGTGGAGATGAGTAAGAGCACTTGAAGAGGAATGGGCTGTGTGTGAAAATATTTCAAAATATTTTCCAGTGAGGGGCCCTGGATCTACAAATTTCACCTGAAATGGCTGAGCCCTGGTAGCTTGAGAGACAATGTTTCTGTGGCTAAAGGAGAGGAACAATGAACTATTGAACTCCTTGGTACAAAAAAACTTGCTATGGGAAAGAATTTAGCAATTTTCGAATATGGATTAGATGCAAATACAAAATAGTATCCATAAGTGGCAACTGCTTATTCCAAATTCTACGTCCATTGACTGCAACTTTGTGAGTACCTCTACCCCTGTACTACCATGTTGTGACTAGTGGGCCTCAGTCTTTTCTGCTTTCTGGCAATGAGACATGAGAGTAGAGAATGTCAGTACCTCTGAGTAAGGTAGTGATGAATTCTTACAGAATTACTCATTCTCATTCAGGAAACCGGTCAATAAATTGCCAGACCCCACAAGGTCCTCTTGCCTCTAGCAAGGAAATAAGAAAGACAAAAGGCAGAGTCTTTTCAAATTTGGAAACAACACCGGAGGCAAGAACTTTTGGAAGTTTTGCACAGTTCATGCATTATGTCTGCACAAAACTTGTGCCTTTTCCCTTTGTGAAGTCATATACACACAGCACATACAAAAAGACTGGGATGGGAGATCAAAAAGATGTAAACAACCCTCCAATGCTTCTGCAACAAGTCAGCAGCTATTATAATTTGGTGTGATCATCAATCCTAAACTTCACCCACATAAGATGACAAGCAAGGATTTATACTCAGACCCTGGACTTAAAGGCAAGAGGCTGTATAGAGAGCAAAGTACCCTGGAAGAAAAGCTGTGTTATTTTGTTGTTATTTTGCAAAATGAGTTTTAACATCTTTACTCCTGTACTGATCCACAAATAGCCTCCAGATCAGTGGATCTCAACCTTTGGCTCGCCAGATGTTCTGGACCAACTCCCAGGAGCCCTGGCCAGTATAAGAAGCTGTGGGAGTTGACTGTCCAAAACATCTGGAGGACTGAAGGTTAAGGACTGATGCTCTAGATGGAAGGCTGTTCCTCTCTAATGCTTCAGATAAGCTGCCTTTTTTTCCATACTTTCATAAGAACATAAGATGAGCCCTGCTGGATCAGGCCAAGGGCCCATCTAGTCCAGCTTCCTGTAACTCACAGGGGCCCCACCAGAGGCCTCGGGGAGCACATGAGACAACTGGATACCTGTCTCCTGATACCACACCCCTTGCATATGGTATTTGGAGGTCCCTTCCTTTTAAGCCTGAAGATTATACATCTCCATCTCGGCTTGTAACCTGTGATGGACTTTACCTCCAGGAATCTGTCCAATCCCTTTTTAAAGGCATCTAGGCCAGATGTCATCACAACATCCTGTGACAAGGAGTTCCACAGACTAACAATACGCTGGGTCAAGAAATATTTTCTTTTGTCTTTTCTCACTCTCCCAGCACTCAATTGGAATGGGTATCCATTGGTTCTGGTATTGTGTGAGAGGGAAAAGAGCTTCCCTCTATCTACTTTATCCACCCCCTGCATAATTTTATACATCTCAGTCATGTCCCCCGCCCGAGGCACCTTTTCTCCAGACTAAAGAGCCCCAAACACTGTAGCCTTTCCTCGTAAGGGAGGTGCCCCAGCCCAGTCCTGATTTTAGTCACGCTCTTCTGTACCTTTTCCAGTTCCACTATGTAGTCATGCTCTTCTGCACCTTTTCCGGTTCCACTACTGTATGTCTTTTTTGAGGTGCGGTGACCAGAACTATATGCAATGCTCCAAGTGAGGCCTTACCAGCGTTTTGTACAATGGCATTATAATGTTGGCTGTTTTATTTTCAATCCCCTTTTTAATGATACCTAGCATGGAATCGGCCTCCTTCACTGCTGCCACACACTGGGTTGACACTTTCATCGAGCTGTCCACCAGCACCCCAAGATCTCTTTCCTGATCCGTCATGGACTGCTCAGAACCCATCACCTGATAAATAAAGTTTTGGGTTTTTGTCCCATTGTGCATTACTTTACATTGTCTTATATTGAAATACATTTGCCATTTTGCCGCCCATTCTCCCAGTTTGGAGAGTTTCTTCTGGAGCTCTTCACAATCCCTTCTGGTTTTCACCACCCAGAAAAGTTCCTTGTCATCTGCAAACCTGGCCACCTCACTGCTTATCCCCAACTCCAGGTCATTTATCCTTGGTGCCTGTATGACATTATACTGTTAGTCTATTTTCAGTGGATTACCTCCATCTTATGTCTAACACTTTGACAGCTGCTTCTACAAGTAAAGCTGGTGGTCTTACAGGTGATGTTGAGGCTACCCAATCTGAGTTGTCAGTCAGCAATTTTGTACAGCCAGCTTCTGTTTAAATCAATGGGGAGAGAAAGACACCGCACTTCCAATGCAGCTGATAGGAGGGAATAGCAACTGTGGGCCCCACAAATGCCAGAGCATTTAGTTTCCAGATCAGGGCTGTTAATGATAGGAAACTGTGGAAGTCATTAATTCATTTGTTGTTCTGTGTCATCAAGTCGCTTCCAGCTAATACGATTAGTAGGATGTTCAAGTAATTATTTTCCATTGCCACCACCCATCAAGTGAGTTCCTCTGTTCAAGCCAGGATTTGAACTTAGGTCTTCTGAGTCCTGCACTAACACTCTGTGCACTATATTGCACTGGCTCACCATTAATGCATAGGATCATCGTGAATCAGATATTAATCAATGACTAATAACAACGAAGTCTTAATCCCTCTCTCCCTCTCTCTCCCTCTCTCTCTCTCTCTCTGTGTGTGTGTGTGTTTACACACACACACACACACACACACACACACACACACGGACTGAGAGAGGAAGAAAATCATAACTGATGCAAAGGGGCCTTAAATGCATAAAACACAGCAATTCTATGATACTTTAAATGGCTGTTTTATTTCTCCTGATTTTGATTGTAGTTTTGTTTTCAATAGACATGTTGTTTCAATTCTTCATTTTGAATTGTTTCTTGCAATTTATAGAACATTGACTAAAGTGCTTTATATAAATAAATGAGTCTTGTTTCTCAGGAACAAATTCCACGACTTCCAAGAGTGCAGAAGCTCCTGCCTGGAAATCAGACAAGGAGAGCTGTTCAAATTTTGTGAATCAAAAATGCACAGTTGTTCCCTCTTGACCAATCTGGAGCCACCTCATAAATTTGAACAGCCTGGGAAACAGCTGAACCATTCAGAAAATTAGATGTCTATCCAAACAGAGAAGTACTATTTACAGAAACTTACAGCAGGAGTTGAAACAGAGAGGAGCTTCAAATTAAGAGCTTTGAATATAGTATGATGATTGTGGTGTGACTTAATTAAAAACGTACAGAGATCTCCGTGAACTTAAGCCTGTTTCGAATAATTTGCTTCTCTGCTGAGTTGTGCTTTGTATCATATAAATCCATAATTTGATATTATCCATGGCTTCACCACTCCTTACTTTCAGAGCCTCATTTGAACAAGACCTAGGGAATCTTGGACTATTTTGCATGCTAGGGTACCCTCACCACCCCAAAATGTGAAAAAAAGAGTGTTGCTTACATGTAGTCATCTTGTCCCAGGCTTCCACATCAGTTTGGGTGGTTTCAAGGCAATCTATTACTAGATGCCACAGCTTAGATACCAGGCTTCCCGCTTATACAAGCTCCCATTTTGAAAAGATTAAGAAAAATGAAAACAAAAACAAATCCAACCAAATGCAAAAATATTCACTAGGAGCTGTATGTTATTTGCTGCAGATGTCTGGCCTGTAGAAAGCAACAGGACAGGCTCCTCCTAAAGAAACAAGGCTAAAATTAGCAGCTTGTCCTCTGTCATCTCTGCCAGCTTCTCTGCATTTTTCACAGGCAAAAATAACGGCAACAGACACCAGGCTAACGTTTTCCCAGACCCATCTTTTCCACTGAGCTGATGATGCCACAGAAAAAGGGGGAATGTCCAGAGCCTCTCATTCCTAGGAGGTAGACAGCAGCCTCTCATCCTTACCATGTGCCATCAAGTTGGTTCTGACCTACGGTAACCCCAACGGAGTCTTCCATATTACAGTGGACCCTTGACTTACAGACGGCTTGACTTACAGACTTTTTGAGTTACAGACTTCTCTGGCTGCAAAATTTAGGTTCGACTTGCAGCCAGAGAATCGACCTACAGACCAGAAAAAAACCAAAATGGAACAAAAATGGAACAAAAATGGAACAAAAATGGCCGGTTATGGGATTAATCGGTTTTCAATGCATTGTGGCGTTGGAGCCTCGTGGCGCAGTGGTTAAAACGCTGTACTGCAGCTAAAACTGTGCTCACGACCTGGGGTTCAAATCCCAGGTAGCCGGCTCAAGGTTGACTCAGTCTTCCATCCTTCCGAGGTCGGTAAAATGAGTACCCAGCTTGCTGGGGGGGCAATGTGTAGCCTGTATAATTAAAATTGTAAACTGCCCGGAGAGTGCTTGTAGCGCTATGGGGCGGTATATAAGTCCAATAAATAAATAAATAAATAAATAATTGTAGGTCAATGGAGACTCGACCTACAGACTTTCCGACCTGCAGCCACCGTTCCAATACAGATTAATTCCGTAAGTAGAGCGTCCACTGTATGTGAGAAGTTCAAGAAGTAGTTGTCCATTGCTACACACACCTTCTGGCCAGTTTCCATGCCTGAGCATTTATTTTGAACTCTGCTTTTTTGAGGCTTAGTCCAACAATCTATCCACAACACCACACTGGCCCTCCCTTCTCATTAAGAAGGTTGCCGGGGAGGGGAACAGGGGGGAGAGAATCTAAATTTTTTTCTTGTGTTTGTTCAGCACTATGGACACCAGAAAGGCAGCCTTAAATTTCTGACTCCCTTGTAGCCTTTTTTTTTGCTCTGCAAAGGCATGCTACAAAAAGGCATGTGCTGAGACCTAAATGCATTTAAAATCAACAGATGGATTACTTCGTTAATCAGCTTATCACTTGTCAGTTCTAAAACTGTTAAGACTTTGTTCACAGGCATATAGAACAGCAGATAATGCAAATTTCAGTGACTACAAGGACAAACAAATGAGGTCTATACTGTATCATGCTCTGGACTGCCCCTGTTGGCAAGGGATGTACTGTATTAGTTGAGGCAAACTTATCCAAAAAATACATTCCGTCTCCTGAGATAATATCCATGACAATCCAAGCTCAAGTGGCAGGAGTGGGGGGATTTCCACACTTCAATAAAACGAGCAAGAAGCAACAAGAGAACAAGGGTTGTTGTTGTTGTTGTTTAGTCATTACTTTTCGTGAACCCACACTACAAGGGGAGTGTGGAATATTTTGCTGCATTTCCCACCACCAACACCTTTTGAATTCTATCCAGGCATATTGCGTGAGAGAGGTGGGCATTTTATTTTATAATCAAGCATAAGCTCTGCGGTGGACATCTCCCTGTGTTCCGTGGTGGTCCTTTCCCCCTCTTCTAGATTTCCCTTCTTACTTCTCTTACGCAATGCTCTTGACTGCTGATGGATCTCTTTTCCTTCTGCAGTGGCTTTTTTTCTCAGATCCTTTCCAGATCTAGCTCTAATCTCCTCCTCTACCATTCTACCAGGGATTTACTTAGCACACAAATCCTTCCTTTCGCTGCCCAAGTTAATGTTCTGGACCAATGGGACTAATTAGATGCCTGCTGCATGCAGTGCCCTGCTTTATTCACATTTTCTTTAACAAAATTTCCAAACTGCTCTCCGCCTTTGGTTTTCTATGATGAATGATGTCTAGATTCTGTACGGGGCTGACATCTCTGTCTTGCTGGGCACGGGCCTTGATGCTATCGCAATAGCAAATAATTACTGTGATACGTTGTTATAGCTAGTCACGGGACAGTGCCTCACCCAAGCCAAAAATGACCCACTCACCCCTGCCATGGGTTGAAAATAAAGCAATGGCCCATCCTTTACTACAACAGGACAGGAATAGCCTTTCATTTTGTTCCTCACACATTTGAGGTATGATGTATGGCATAATTGTTGGGCAGTCTCTTCATGTCAGCATGGCAGCACATGGTGGTGGTGGGGGGAACGACAGCCCCACTTTAAGCTCAGAATAATACGGTGGGACAAAGAGCACTATCCGGCTTGCACCTTGTTTTCCAGAGAATCCCAGGGAAATAAAAATGGCTGTTTCATATATTACATGTTGTAATGGCCATATTGATAAGCTGAGGAAAAAAATTATTGTTAAAATAATAAGACAAACCCAGGATTACCTTTGGTAGGCTAGATCTATTAGGTTTTCTTGCTTTGTTTTGTTTTGTCTTTTGTGGCAAAGAATCCTGAGAGTGGAATTTTATTTATTATTATTTATTATGTTATTATTTATTTATCCCACTTTTAGTGGTAGTGCCCTCCCTATAGAAGATCCCCTCAGATTGTTTGCCTGGCACCCACCTTATTTTTTTGGCCAACAGACATAAAGCCTTTCCATTTTCCTGAACATTTTAAACAGAATCTCACTTATGCTCTTTTATCTCTGGTGGCTCTCACCTCAGGTAGTGGGCACATCAAAATGTTGCTCTCCAATTTTGGTGTGAGATGCTTCTCCCTGTTCAGGTGGGTGCCAGGCAAAACCTCTGAGAGGATGTTCTATAGGGAGGGCATTACCACTAAAAGTGGGATAAAAGTACTTATAATAAATAAAATTTATTATACACAGGAACAGGTGTGTATTTAAAGCCAGAATGGAATCAGGAAAATAGGCGTTCAGAGGTGCCTCCCCTGGCACATGGTAGGCCCAAGACAGTGTAATGTATTAGATAAAACGTTGGACTAGGACTCAGAGGACCTGGTTTCAACCCCCCATCTGGTAATCAAAACTCACTGGATGGTTGGCAGTGGGTAAACTACTCTTCAAACATTGTACGTACCCCCAAAAATCATATTACGGACACTATAAGTTGGAAGTAACTTGAGAACATATAACAACCTGTACTGCTAAGAGTGAAATACCCACCAGTCTATTTTGTTGTTCAGACATCCCTAAGGGCTCCATACCATTGTGTCTGTAACCTGATACATCTCTCCATCCAGAAAGACAAAGATAGCAAGACATCTGCAAGACTGCCTGTTGTATGCTGGAACCAGCTGTATTGGCTCTTGCCTTTCCATTGGACCATTTCAGCAATGTGGAGAGGGGGGATCTGGTGCTTGGGTAACAGCCTATCCTCCATATTACTTTACCAAGGCTTCATGCTCTGGAGAGGACACTCCTCGATTCAGAGCACGTTACCATAGTCTCTCAAGACAGAAGGATACGTATGCTATATCCCCATCATCCTCACATAACGGCCCCTCTTGCAAAAGTCATTGTGTGATCATTAGACATTTTCCTTTGGGTCAAAAAGGCAGATGATGGAAGGAGAGGAAACCACAAGAACATTTGTTTGGAATTATTAAGTAAGAAGCTGTTGTGTCATTGAGTTCTACTTTCCAGTCAGCTGGAAAACAGCACGCTCCTCAGTTGACATGCTTCTTGTGTGGGTCATGGAGTCACATGTTGGCAACTGGACTGGTCCCAGCTGGTTTCCCTCCTTCCTTTTCAGTTAGAAGGCAGGGTGGTGGTGGGAGTGGGAGGCCACAAGCTCGTCTTGGCAGACGTCCTGTGAGCAGTCCTTGACAAACTATGCCATTCAGAGACAAATACTGCTTTGGGGAGAAGTTCCTTGAGAAATGTGTGGTGTTGCCATTGCAGACATTTTGGATGGGACCAATAATTTGAATCCATCTCATTCTGCGCTTAAGCCTTATTTGGGTATTGAACTGGCCTTAGTCGCCCTGGTGGATGACAGACAATGGGAGGTAAAGAGAAAAGTTGGGGAGAGAGGGAGAAAGAGAGAACCAGAGGTGTTGTGCATCCCTCTTTCTCTTCCTTAATCTCTTAGCAGGTTCTGATACCATCCGTCTGGACTGGCACATTGTGTTCAGTGTTGGAGGCATTATACTTTAGAGGTTCTGCTTCTACCCACCTGGAAAGTTTCAGGTAGGTGTCCTAAATGGCTTTGTCCAGGCTCCGGAAATGGCGCGATGAGACTCTTTCTCAGCTCCTGGTATCAATGATATGGAACGCTAAGGCTGCTTCATATCTATATAAAGCCATTGACAATGGTCATCAGGGAATCTGAAAGATCAAAATCCTTTTGTGTAAAGTTCTGTTGGTGTAAATCAGATCCAGTGCCAGAAATAATCAATTTAAACCAATTGAAAGCTTTCTATCCCCACTCCCTTTCTCAGGTTCTGAGGCAAGATCGGGACTGACAGTGGTAAGCCAGTGGTAATTTTTGACTATTAAAGGCTTTCTCTCCCCTCCACCCCAAGGTTCCCCGGGGGAATTTAAAAGCCCTGGGGAACCTCAGAAACTGAAGGGTGTTTAGGAAGATTTAATTAGTTTAACCTGATTGTTTTCAACACCAGACCTGATTTACACTGGTGTAACTTTACACCAACAGGATTTTGTCCCAAGTGTCATCATTGTGCAGATAACACCCAACTTTCTTTCCCTGTCACACCTGAATCAGGTACGTCTGTGTAAGTTCTGACCTGTGCTTGGATGCTCTGGTGGACTGGATGCAGGCTGTTATGCTAGGTGTGAGCACTAGCAAGACATAGGCTTTTTTGTATGTAAGAGCGAACACACCCAAGAGATGGGCAGATTAGATCTCTCAAGGATCAAGTAAACCATTTGGGTATTCCTGTGAATCCACTATTCTCCCTGGTAACCCAAATTGCTGTACAATAAAAATTGGTA